TCAATGGTAGACAGGTACTTTTTTTAATTTAACCAATCGCTGTTGTGACATATGTAATGCGCCCCTAACGGGGCTAACTGGTATATTATGCTTTTCCCAAATCCTGTAGAAAGAAGGGCAATATCGTCTTTCACCAAACATTCTCCAAACATTCTCTTTGTTCTGCCTTTAAATCCTCAGGAATCATTGCCAATACAAAATGTATGGCTCTTCGCTGATTCGCTAGTGCCCAGGCTCGCACTTCTGGGGTTCTTGCAAACCATTTAGTGTATTCCGATTCCTGACCTAGTTGCTAGAGAGAAATGAAATTGAGCGGAGGCACTAGGTGGCTCCAGCCTGACTACTAAAATTTCATAACTACTTTGGTTGGCTTATACATATTAAAGGCACTGTACCTGATTTTTTTTCCATGTATTTGAGCAAAATGTGTCTCTTCTCTGGCCTCTGAAAATTGTGAGAAGTGCTTATAAACTCATTGTGGTGAATAATTAGGATGCTCAGTATGCATAAGGTCAGTGAGGAATAACTTTGGACCACTGCAAACCGTTTAAAATGAAGTAGTTCAGTTTTCTCATTTTAAGACATTTTCAAATCAGATACAGCACCTTTAATAACGGAAGGAAAACAAAACGAAAGAGTAATGCATATCTGAGACCAAGACTCTCCGTAGACTCCCAACCTGTTGTGTATAAGTCAGTGGAAACATACTTAACTGCTAACTGTGGTTAAAGTGCCCATATGGAAAAAGCACTTGTGGTTTTTCAGTGCTGACAAGTGGAGTGTGCGTGTGGCCGTGAGCGGTGGTCTCACAGTGTAGACCAGCTCTCCATTTAAACACACGGAGCAGAGGAGGCGCTCTAATCACAGCCTTAGCTTTACTCTAATAGCCCAGTGGCATGAAAAGCACTTCAGAATTCACTTTTACATGCTCGCTCACCAAATATCTTACCCACACCAACAACCGTGCAGCTAATTAAGGGCTGTTTTCAGGTTAGAAAATGGGATGATCATCATTTTAGATTAGGGGCAACAACTAGTATTTCTTTATTTTTATAGAAATATCCACACAGATGTTGAACCAGAATATTGCATTTGGACTTTGAATCTAAAAGTAAAAGCGGCATTAGAGACGTTTTTGGGGCATATAAACTTTGAAAATGTCTATAAACGTTTTGATTTCATGAACAGAAAAAAGCACAATGTTTAATTAATAAAATAAATCAATTGAACATTTTGTTACTTCTGCGATTGGACTTTAATTTTTTTTTTTTCTGCATAAATCTGTTACATTTAATTTCACGGGCAACAGAGTGGAAGCTAAAACATGTCCAGATTATGACTCACAGGTGTAGGAAAATGTAATCCTGTTATGTTATGTTTTATTATATTAGAATAACTAATGAGCCTAATTGGACTTGAAGACATTTCCCTGCACCAATTCAATTAACATGGACTGAGCTAAATAATGATGTCATTGAAAACCCAAGAAAACAAACAGAAAATACCAAACGTGGAAGAGCGCAGGCCGCGGTAGAGTGCAGCACGTGCGTCTTTCTTTCTCTGAGTCGTTCCGTTTTAACAGATGGAAGTGCACAGAAAAGAATAGGAAATGAGACAGTGGGAGGGAAGAGAGAGAGATGGAGAGGAGGAGGATTCAAAGAGCCACCGGAGGAGAGGAAGAGAGAGCAGCGGGAGAGAGAGGAGAAAGAGGAGAGAGGGAGGGAGAGAAAAAGAGGCAGCAGGAAAGACACTTCAGGGGAGAAAGAGAGGGGGACAGGAAAGCGGGGTGTAGGGGGTATAGGTTTAGAATGAGGGGAGGATAGGGAGATCCAAGAGGAAGAGGAGGGAAGAAGAAGGCATGTTTTGTGAGTTATTTAGATCATATTATAATTTTATATATTACTTTAGATGAAAATATAAAATGTAAAAAGCAAGTGTTGTTTTTTGACTGTTGGATGGAGAGGTTCTAGTAAAAAAAAAAAAAAAAAGACAATGATTTTCACTGTTTTCAAGGGGGAAATGATTTGAATTTGAAAACAAGGTCTTTGTTAAATATGAAAATTTGCGCTTGATTGAATGCCGCTCCTTGTATTCTAGTTTGTTTTAAAGAATTTATTGTCAGACAAAGCCTAAGCCACAAGATTTCAGAGAATCTTGTAGATTCTGTGGAGAGGACGCAGTAAGAATACAAGGTTTTCAACCTTATAGCATTTAAAACAACTGTAATTTAAGATACGTTTTGCCATACTTCAGAACATTAAAGGTAAAGTAATAACATCTCCGTAGAGACAAGCAGGTATTGTATCCTCAACCAGAAAAGTTGTGTAGTGCAGCTTTAAAGGTCCTATATTATGCAAAATTGACTCTTGTGAGCTTCTCCTCAACAACGTACCTGGGCCTTTTACCTTTTGTTCAGAAGAGATCAGCAAATCCAGAGTTTGCATAAACTAAGCGCTCAAAAAACAGCTCGCTATTGTGCGCTGATGTGGTTCAGCTTCTGTCAGACTAAAGGACACGACTCAGTGGAATATCTGTGTTCTTTCTGTGACAGAGGGATGTTCTGCTAATACTGAGTCTGTTTGTCATGTAATGTGGGCTGTAAAAACAAGGAAGTGGAGCACTGTGTCTGAAGTTGCAGCAGCTGATTTGGAGTAGAGGAAGATGGCAATCATGAAAACAGTCTTTTCGTGGACCGTGTACTAGCAAGTTGTTCTAGCAACGCTGTTTCCAATATGGTTTGTTTAAACTGTTTTCCACAATAGCGTCACATGACCGATGTCATGAACCCAGCGAATCAGGAAGGTACAAGTCACAGTAACGTGGTCCAATGAGGACACAACTAGAGCTCCTATGTCAGCGTATCAACATTTTCAGGCGTCAACACAGTGCCGGATCAGATCCATACTCAGATGAATTTGTGGGAGCTGGCGGCACCATATCATTCTGTCTCTGGAGCCATTTTCCATTGGATTAATGTGGAACAAAACACAGCTCCAGGTTTGTTTTTGATGAGGAAACATTGTAACATAGATTAGAAAATAGCGTAATATGGGCCCTTTAAGTATTTTTTACACCCGAACTATAATCACATCTACTTGCAGGTTGTATTATGCATCAGTTTTCATAGACTCGATTCGCCGTGCCCATGGGGAGTGATAACCATCCAAAAGGAGGGCACCGGTGTTTTGTCACTGCTCACAGACACAAACTAATGAGACGAGAACCAGCGCGCCGCCGCTACAGGCCCACTACAGGCCCACTCAGGCGGATCAGACCACACATAGACTCCAAGTAGACTGTACCCACACGCACGCACACATATACATACACTAGAGCGCACATGGTCCCGGTCACGCACTGGTCTGGTCTCTATGACGACCTCTGCGGGGGGCCCAGACACAGAGGAGCAGAGGAGGTGGGGAAAGAAGGAGGGAGCACGAAAACAACAGAGGAAAGTGGAGCAGAGAGAGAGGAGGGGTGAGGGGGTAAAAGGGGCGGAGTTTAACTGTCTGGTGCAGAAGAGATGGGTGCATGATGAGTGAAAAACATGCAAGTGATAGTCAACACACAGCTGCACATTTAAATTTTTCATTTTTTGCCCATGACCTGGCCCCGGATAAGCGGAAGAAAATGGATGGATGGATTTTTTGCATTTTTCATTATGAATATTTATTAATATTTTTCAAAGTCCCAACATTTTTCCCCATATTTAAAATTAATTTTATATGCACTTGTTTGGGGAGGCTTATATTTCCTGATTGATTAAACTAAAAAATTAAAAATCTTAAATAGTCAAATAAAAATGTAACATAAATTAGATGTTTATATCAATGTTCATTATTTGGGATAATTTTATTGAAAACAACCAACAACAGCTTCCATGAAACTTTAACTCTGCATCTGTATTGAATTTTTATGAATGGTTCAATTGATCAGCATTTCGTGGTTGAATCGCTTCATAGATCACGTGACACATTTCACTTTAAATACTCAAAACAAACCAAAAAACAAAAGGTTTCAATTTTTGACAAGTTAAAACATCACGATCAAGCAATAATTAAGCTGTTTAGAGAGGTTTTATACAGAAATTACACAAATCAACATTTCAAATACCCATCCATACTGTAAACGGCTTGTGCATTTTTACTTTCACTTTCTTCACGCGATCCCCTTTAGACCCTCGGCAGCAGACGCCCAAACAAAACAAAGTGGACAGAAGTGGGTTACTCTCCATTATAAGAGGCTTACTCTATGTCTCCGTGTCTGGGGCTGTCACGCTGTTTGCACACATGCATGGCTAGACTTTAAATATCACTACTACTATTTATACTACTACTGCATGCATGTCTGAGTATGAGATTAGAGACATTTGGAGAATTTTAGGGTACGTGCCAACAGTCCTCCTCTGCCTAATGTAAAACGTAACCATATCTCAAAAGCTCTTATTTTAAAAATGTATTTTTTTTTTTTTTTCTTTAATAGTAGTCACAGATTTTGTCCACTTAATGCAGGAGTAAATTTTGAAAAATGTTGAATTCAAGTCCATTTTTCTCAACTAAATTCTTCTAAATTCTGGTTGCAAATATCTGAAAGCATTTAATTGATTTCAAAATTCAACTACAATGTGTATATTGATGTAAATGACATTATTTCCCTTCTAAATCCCAAATAGTTAAATGGTTTGCTATGATCCATCAATATGACTATTCACACAAAATTTATAAGCACTTTTAACAACTTTTAGAGGGCAGAGAAGCCATCATAGAAATGCAACAGCAATGAGCTTGCTAACAGCACACTTCCTGGTTTGCTTTACAATTAAATGCATTTCACCTTGCAAGCTGCTTGTACAATATATCTGTACTATACTTGGGCAAGAGAAATTTGACTTTATTATATGCAAAGGAGATCAGGCATTGCGCATTGAAACGCTATAGTTTGTTGTCGTTTCACAGTAATTGTAATCCATGTTTGAACCACTTTTCTTGTTTCTGTTGCAGGTTCGGACTGCTCGCGCAACTTCACGTCTCCCACGGGGCTGATCGAGTCTCCGGGCTTCCCTGATAAATACCCACACAACCTGGAGTGCTCCTTCATCATCATCGTGCCCCCCAGCATGGACGTGACCCTCAGCTTCCTGACCTTTGACCTGGAGAATGACCCCCTGCCGGGCAGTGAGGGCGATTGCAAGTACGACTGGCTGGAAGTGTGGGACGGGCTGCCAGGAGGTGAGACACACTACTGTTTGTTTTGTTTATTTTACAGTTTTTACACTTAGATGGGACGACAGGTAACTATGAAGATACAGGTTGTTTGGGTACACTACTACTACTACTTATTCTACTACTACTATTACTTGTCTCAGAATGTAATTTGCCTGTATAAAAATCTATTAAGACACTGTGCTAAATAAAATAGATTACCTTTATTACTTCTACTATTACTATTACTACAACTACTAATACTACCACCACTATTACTTCTGTTACTATATGCTGCTATTCAGAGGCGGTGCTACTGTTAGGCAAAAGTAGGCAGCTGCTTAGGGCCCCCAAACCTAGAGGGGCTCCCAACCAATTGCCCACAGTGTCACTAATGGCCCAGGCCTCAGAGCAATTAGATTTTCTCTCAGTATGACATTAAATGAGAGTAGTTTACTCTTAAACAATAATCATAAGAAATGAAAATGAAATAATAATCATATGTAATGGTTGTAAACAAAAATGTAAGTGAACTAGCAAAAAAATAAAACAACTTTCAGTTTTGGTTATGTAGTAGGTTACCTAACTAATAAGACAAGTTTTCAATCCACCATAATTCAGATAAATAGAGATGTGCATATCTCAAGAACAATGGGAAAAACAGACAATAAATATATTCAAAACAAAACAAAAAAATGGCCCCAAAACTCAAGTTCGCCTAGTGCCCCTAAATTGCTAACTCCGTCACTGCTGCTACTACTACTCATCCCAAAAGCTATAAAAAGAATATGCCACATACATTACTTTTACCATTACTACAACTACGCATTCTGCTACAACTCCTTGACCACTACTATTATTTCTCTTACTATATGCTAGTACTATTACTAGTTGCAAAAAGAAAATATGCAAATATTTCCCAATATTAATATTACTACTTCTACTACTATTATTATCATCACTACTATTACTTTTACTACTTCTACTAATTATGCAACTATTACTAGTTGTCCCAAAAAGTACTGAACCCATAACAAAGAAATCTTGGTAAATACTGAGTATTAAAATCAGAAACTACAAATCTTTAGCAAAAAGAAGAAAACTACATTAAACCCTGAGTTTGTAGAAGCATCTAATTTTAAATGCGTTCCAACATCTCTATCGAAAATACACAGTTAAAGTTACATATTGTCCTTCCTGCCCACATTGTTATTGACTGAGGCGGAGTATAGCACTGTTTTAGCTGCGCCGCGTTGGTAGATGAAAGATCACGGGCAGCATGTTGGCAGAGGCTCTTCACGAAACCAAACTTTCATGGGGCAAAGAAAAAAAACAAATAAAAAAAAACAAGTGAAGGATAAAAAGAGGAGGTGAGGGCACTGGGTGGTTGAGATATTTCTGGTACTGCTGCTGGTATAAGGTTTACAAGGACAAACTTAAAATACAGCAAAAACTTGGATCTGGTTTGAAAGATTTGCAGGAAATGGAGGTAAAATGCCTGGAAGGGAAAAAAGGTCAGGAGTAACTGAAATGAAGGTCTGAGGTCTGAAGCACTGCGGGTGAAAAGCATGCACGCGAGTTGGTTTCCACTGCACCAAAATGGAAATACTGGCTAATAATTTTTTTTTTTTAAATCACACAATTTCACTATCACAGATTAATTATGAAAAGGTATATCTCATCGTAACTTTTCTCTGCAATGTATGGAGTGAAAGTACCTAAAAAAACAATAGACAAATAGTAGTCAGACCATTGAGATTTGGGGAAAAAAGACTGAAAAAGAGACAACAATAGAGACAGAGATAAAATGTAGATGCTTTGAGAAGAGGAAAACCCTACACGAGAGGCTAAGTTCAGACAGAGGTGCTTAGACTCACTTTAAAATGTGAATGGGGATGATGTGAACCTTATGTGCTTTTAAAAGAATCAACTTTAATACATGAATTGCAAGCTTTCAGGAAATGGACAAAAATAAGAAATCTAATCATGGAAAATACTATTGAGTGAGTGATGCAACAGCGAGCAAGGTTTATATAATGTCATCTACAAAACACTCTATTTAAATGGGATATTAGTGTGACCATTAGCCTAATACACACATCTATATGCAATACACTGAAATGACAACGGATTGTGGTCAGACTTTGATACATACTGACCAGGTCTAAACCAGGATTGAACCAGGTCTGATCTAGGACTAAACCAGGTCTAATCCAGGACTAAACCAGGTGTAACCCACAATTAACCTGGCCTAATCCAGGACTAAACCAGGTCTAACCCAGGAGTGAACCAGGACTGACTCAGGACTGAAGCAGTTCTAACCCAGAACTAAATCATGTCTAACCCAGGCCTAAACCAGGTCTGACCCAAGATAAAAGCAGGTCTAACTCAGAACTAAACCAAGTCTAACCCAGAACTAAACCAGGTCTAACCCAGGGCTAAACCAGGTCTAACCTAGGATTAAACCAGGTCTAACCCAGGACTAAACCAGGTCTAACCCAGGACTAAACCAGGTCTGACCCAAGATAAAAGCAGGTCTAACTCAGAACTAAACCAAGTCTAACCCAGAACTAAACCAGGTCTAACCCAGGGCTAAACCAGGTCTAACCTAGGATTAAACCAGGTCTAACCCAGGACTAAACCAGGTCTAACCCAACTAAACCAGGTCTAACCCAGGGCTAAACCAGGTCTAACCTAGGATTAAACCAGGTCTAACCCAGGACTAAACCAGGTCTAACCCAGGACTAAACCAGGTCTGACCCAAGATAAAAGCAGGTCTAACTCAGAACTAAACCAAGTCTAACCCAGAACTAAACCAGGTCCAACCCAGGGCTAAACCAGGTCTAACCTAGGACTAAACCAGGTCTAACCCAAGACAAATGCAGGTCTGACTGAAGACTAAACCAGGTCTAACCTAAGATTAAACCAGGTCTAATTCAGAACTAAACCAGGTCCAACCCAGAACTAAACCAGGTCCAACCCAGAATTAAACCAGGTCTAACACAGCACTACGTAAATCAGGTCTAACCCAGGACTGAACCAGGTCTGTTCCAGGACTAAACCAGGTCCAAAACACTTCTGATAAATATAGACCACTGCAGATCAGCACCACCCTACAAGACCTGCAGTTTTGTATTTTTTTGTCCCTGTTGGCTGGTCATTAGAATTTTACTTTACAAATTTCCAACTTGATTATAAGAAAAAGTCTTGATACCCGATAAAAATTTCAATACCACAGTGACAAAATAATCATAGTTAATTTAATATTCCCATGTAGCTAGATATAGAAGAGATTTTTTTTTAATTCTAAAACTAATCCTAATATATGTAATTATTTCTTTATTGATTTTCATATTCTTACCCATCTAATTTGTTACAGAATGAACAATTTTACATTTCTGATGATAGCTTCATACTTTACTTCACTTTTCAATGCACCTAATCCTAATACTAGTCTAGGATTAAGGTTTTGAGGTATGTCATTGATATAAAAATGTTATAGGCCTACCACAGAAAATACCAAGTCTATGGCGTCTAAAGTCATTTAAACTAGAAAATACCTATCATAGAACATTTCAGTTATTATCAGTTGCCATGGTGATAATCTATGTGACTTTGTGCACCTGTCAGTGGCTGTAATATTATGCCTGATCATTGAATAACCCAATTAGTCCGGTGCAATATAACATTTAATTCATTATTGCATTACCAGCAGCTGCTATAGTATAAGCTAGCTAGAATTACGCTTGTTTGTGCCAAGTATTCACACACTGTATGTCAAAGTAATTAGCCAGTCATATGAACCCGAACAATCTACTATGACCAAAAGAACTATTACTGGCACCAGTGTCACCAATGGAGAATTTTCCCATAAGTCTCCGTTCAGTTCTCTCAGCATCTGTCAAAACCAATTGGAAATTAATTATTGCAAGTCATTCTACAGTTACAGTATCACATTGTAGACTAATAACATTTAATAGAGTCCTCATACCGCTCTATATTTATACTCGTAGTACATATGACAGGAGCTCAGAGGCACAACATGTCGTGCAAAAATTAAAGTAAATGTACAAGATTTGTGTTTTTGGAAGCCTCATTTTTACAACAATCTCTCAGAATAATACATTTACTTCAACTATTACCATTACTATAATTGAAACTGCTCAAACTACAAAGCTTTGCTTTCTCTCATCTACTTATTACAATTTTGGCAAACAACTACCAGTATAATTAATAGATTTCTACTGCAAAAAATCTAAGACTAAGCCAATAAAATGAATGAAAAAGAAAGCCAACGTTGAAATGAGTCCTAATTTAGGAAATTCAATTAGGAAGCAAGTCCTTTCAGGGTATTGGACCCATTCTGCAATGTTGTATAGCCAAATTATACATCTTCTGGTTGAGGTGCAAATGGTCTGTGTCCATATTTTTTATCTTAATCTACATTTATATGAGGGCGGTCTGAAAAAAGGACGCAAAAGTGGTGTCGCATCTTCACTTTTTATTCCGCGTTTAGACGAGCGTTTTCGGGAGGAAATCTGTGCGCATACGGTGGCGCAAATGTGTGTGGAGTTTGATTGGGTATGCATGCCAGGTAGCTAAGTGGTGACCCTCGGTGGAGATGTATGTGACGTAAACACGTACGCGACGTGAGCAGAGTTTTGCGTCTTGGGCAGTGTAGACGAAAACTCTACGGCAGAGAGTATTCAACTTTTCCACTGGAGGGTTTCAGATTTTTGCGTTTTTAAGCCCCCAAAACGCCGTCACCATCTACACAAAAAGCACTTCCGATAAAATATTTTGTCATTTTTACCCTCAAGCGTTCTCGTGTAAATAGGCCCTTAAAAAAAGACAATAACTGATAGTTTGTTGGCCCCATAATGTATAGACACATAACTATCTACATCAAAGTGCCAACAACCTTCACAGACCTAGTAAAAGATCTGTAATTTTTGTTTTTACTTTATTTTAGTTGCATAAATAATGTAGTGAGCTGTGTGTTACCTTGCTTTGGAATCGTTCATCTCGAAAATACATTGACATTGTTCATAATAGATTCTTTACCACTGCAAAACATTGACTTTCTAATTCAAGGGTAAACACGCTATATCAATTGAGCAAACAACAGTACACGTCTGTGGCCTCTTCCCACTGCTGGAAAAGCCCCCTCTCTTCATATCAATACATTACCATGATACAATCTGGTTTGAAGCGTGTTGTAAAGGTCATTCAAGGGACAGACATGCCTTCTGCCAGCTGTCTGCCTTTTGGTCCCACTCCAAAAGTACAAGAAAAAGACTTCTCTCTATAGGCCTATCAAAAGTACCAAAAATCTTATATTGATACTAAAATTATTATAGAGACTCGATACTGGGTGTGTGCAAAAATACTGAAATATCGATATATCGTATCGTTTAATGTGATGCTATAGTATTGATATTGTGGGCTGCTGTATCGATATATCTCCAAGAGTATTTTTTGGTTTATTTTACTAAGTTATGTTGCTACATCACTACAGTTTTGTTGCTTGTTTAGTGGAAGGAAACTCATTGAAACACATTTGACATATTCACAGGTTTGATGATTAAAACTGGTGTGTTTCATATGTACTTTGCACAAGAAATGCTTTAACAAAGACTTTTAGTATCACAGTGATGACATAGACATTATTTTTTTATTTAACCGTATCGAATCAATTTGAAATATATCGTATTGAATCGTACTGATTTGAAAGTATTGAGATATTATAGTATCATATAGGGATGTAACAATAACCAAAATATTCTGATATTGTATCGCTAAAAGTCTCACAATAATATCGTGGAGTGTCACAATATATCGAATTACAAGTTCCTTTGCTTAAATGCATTGTTTTATAGTAGCAACAGCTTATGAACATTGGAAACTACATATCCCATGATTCATTTCAGTGCATACATGAAGGAATTTGTTTTTTACTTGAATTCTTGGGATTACAACGGAAATAATTCACACCTAAATCTTGTCAAGGTATTTTAAAAGCAAAAAAGTGTCTACAATTATATTAGCCTCTACAAAGTATCGCAATAAATATCGTACCGTGAGATGTATATCGTGATAATATTGTTATATCTCAAGTATTGTGGTCTATTTATCGAGGTATGTATCATATCGACAACTTCTTAATGATACCCAGCCCTACTAAATCAGGTACTGATACTAAAAAAGTCACATTCACAAGACAGAAATTAAAGGTGCACTGCGTAACTTGTCTGCTGGAAGGTCTGTCATCTACTTGTCGCCATGGAGATGTGCCTAGAATGTTCCACAGTATGGCCATAAATCATATCAGATCAAGTATAAGAGCACATAGACTAGGATAGCCCATGGACCACTATGGAACCTTACCTGAACCTCTGAAGGAGTACACAGATATAAGACCACGTGGTAATATAAAAGAAAGTACTATTATTTTAAGAGCCCCATATTATGCTATTTTCTCCTCTGTGTCTTTTATTATCACCAGGGTATCAGAATTGGTATTGAGTATCAAGTATTTTCCTTAGGATCGAAATCGAGTTTGAAATGACAACACTACTCTCTGTGGTTGCTCATTGTTATTTTCCAGGCATATACTGAATTCAATCGTTGTCCGTTCCACCACTAGCATTTTTTTCTGAAGAATTATTACAGTTATTTGCTCAACCGATTTCAAATATCCCATCTAGTCCAAAAGGGAGGTAAAAAAATCAATAGAGCAGAACGCTTGTTGGTTATTTTCTGCAGCCTCCTACTCCTCCATGGGCTTTATAGTCATGTTGTGTGGATAAATGTAGTGTGTTACCGCCCCCTTCCAACGCCCATGCACATAAATCTAGGGCCGGATTGCGTTGATCTCTTTGTGTTGACGTGTACGAGTTGTGGTATTAGAAGCAGAGACAGCAGACTTATCATTTAGATACATGGACACTCACAGATAGAGATGTTCTATTGTAAAAGTACGCCAGATGTGGAAAGATTGATAAGGGGGATGTGGGTTTCTAGTGGGATTACTTGGATGAGCCCGCGAATTTCTAGTCTCAAGTTAAAACAAATGAATAAAAGAAAATTGATTCACGGTATAAGAGATAAAAAAGAGGAATTAAAGAAAGAGAGTCAATAGAAGTAGCCATTTATAAGCAGAAGCCTATCAAGGTATTGGTCCCCCTTATACAGTTGTTATACAGTTAAATAATACATCTTCGGGTTGAAATGGTAAATGATCTGAGCCCATATTTTGCACAATTTATAATGATTAAAAAAATAATTCATGCTTTTGTCGAGCCCCCATACAATCAGTGACTCCCATCTCGCAATGGGTTAGAAACAACAATCGACAACATTACTAAAACCTTCAACTTAGCATTATTTTTCGGACAAATTTTTAATGGTTATTGTATCACTTTTCAACATCCAAAGAACAAAAACAACGTATTGCTTACTCTTTCACTGTGGTTTGATTGGCCCCTGTTTCAGACAAATTCTAGAACCGCCACTGGCTCCACTGTCACTACTTTCTAAACTAGTACTTCTTACACCTATTTTCCAATGTGGATTTTATACTGCAAATGGTAAATAAACTAACAAAGCAAATGTAATTTTTTCTCTTTTTACAGTCGGCCCTCTGATTGGTCGATACTGCGGGACCAGAGTACCTCCTGAGATTCAATCGTCTACCGGGATTTTATCTTTGTCCTTCCACACGGACATGGCTGTGGCTAAAGACGGCTTCTCCGCACGCTACAACATGACGCATAAAGAAGTTAGCGAAAGTAAGGATCAGCTTCAATCATAATACCTCCTTAAATAACTAAACTATTTTACAAGTTGGTTCATTTATTTGTGTTTTGTTTTAGCTTTCCACTGCAGTAACCCGTTTGGTTTGGAGTCTGGAAAGATCACAGATGACCAAATTACGGCTTCGTCCAGTTTTTATGATGAACACTGGCTCCCGAGACAAGCACGACTCAACTACAACGACAACGCATGGACCCCGAATGAGGACAGCAACAGGGAGTACATTCAGGTGGGGATTTTTTTTGATCGAATACATACTAAAATGGTAGCATATTCATTTTTAGAATTCTACACATTATCACATGTTCAAACTAATTCTTCAGACAGATTTGTTGAAGTGGAACATGCAGAAAATTAACTTTTGTTACATCCTTTTGTGAGAAAATTACAGCGATCTTTCCCATCTACAAATGCACAAAGCACTCACCTCAGCATGTGAATACCTTTATAATTCAACAACTACCACTGCACTTTAATATCTGGCAAGGCCTAACAATTACCAGGGGTGAAAGAAGTACCTAAGTAAATTATACCAGAGCAAAGAAATACTCACGTAAAAAGAAAAGTATCACATGAAAAAATATACTCAAGTAAAAGTATTAAGGTACCTGCTTTAATATGTAATTAAAGTGACAGTTAGGAGTTTTGAACATAGGACCTCATTTCCTAGTGAGCCAGAGTGTTGGAGACGTGTGGAGACTCTTTTGTAAATATTCCATCCAGTCCTTGTATTTGCAGAGGTCGCTGGTGCTAAGCTAGCGCATGTCAATGGCCATAGTTATCCCCCCACTAAAAACAGTCTTAACCACTCCATGAAACACCCGAAGCAAATCTATTATGACGCCAAACTATTGATGTGAATGTCTGTGTCAATAGAATAATTTTGGAAGTAATACCAACCTTGCATTTGAAGGATTTATGTCTGAGCAGCAGCGAGTTGTACTTCCTGATAGAAAGCTTTACAGCAACGGACTGATATCACCTCGCACCGCCCGCTGCTGAGAAAGATGCAAGGTTAGTTTTATTTCAAACATTATTCTGTCAACACTGACATTCACGTCGACAGCCTGGCGTAATAATAGTTTTGCTTCGGATGCTTTGTGGAGTGGGTAAGACTGTTTTTAGTGGCAGGCTAACTATGGCTATTGACATGCACTAGCCTAGCACCAGCGACCTCTGCAAATACAAGGACAGGATGGAATATTTAAAAAAGTGTCTCCACACATCTTCAGCAGTTTGGCTCACTAGGTAATGAGGTCCTATGTCATTTAAAATTCCGGACTGTCCCTTTAGCGAATGAAAATTAAAAGTATATCATGCAGATATTGCGATCTAATAAAGCTTCAGTTGTATTGATTTTGATACAGGTTTATGCTAAGTTTTGTTCAACAGAAGTAGCTGAAATAACTTGAATCACTGATCTAATTGTAATATAGTTCACATTTTTGTCAATGTAAAAACCTATTTAAATATTGACTCAATCCTTTTTACATTGTGTTTTGAGCTATTTTTACTCCAGTTTGCACCACAAAAACAAGATTACATCACTGAATCCAAAACAGATTGTCATCATCTTAAATATCCCTCCTTCTGTTAAATTACCATACACTACTGTACTGCCAGATTCGTCCGCATGTTTGTGCTTTTATGTGGGAGATAGCCGCGAATACTAGAATCTGTAATATCAAGGTTTAGCCGTGAGACGCTAGGTTAAGGCATTGTTTCCTCTTCGCATTTAGCTAGCCAAGTTTGTGCCGTGGCGGTGCCAAGCATGAGTTACGGGTCTGTCTTTGCGGAGAGGAAGAGAGCGTTATATTCACACAACCCCAAGACACGCAGACCATGTTCAGACTAGTGTAAACAGGAGAGGATCTATGGAGGTTTTCCAAGGGCATCCGGCTTCTCCAACTTTTTATCTCCCATCAGGCCAAAAAGTTATACCTAAGCAAAATGGTGTGTACAGAGTGTATATCATGACCAGCAGAAATCAGATTACTAGGATAATCAGATAACCCAATAATTGGATCTGATTTTTGGCATGTGTTCAAAACATCTGGGGACACGTGTCAGTGAATCAATGGATTTTTAGAGTTACTGTTGCATTTGATTTTTGAACTTTAACATAACTCTTCAATCTTTAACATTTTCTCTTTCATTTTTGTCTTTGCCACGAGTTTTTGCATAAAGAAATCAAACTATTCACATCAGAAGTAACTCATTGAATGACATTTCAATAATCGGATAATTTCATCATCAGATAACACCAGAAATTAGGTAATGATCAGATTTTGATGTGCATGTAAACACAGCCAGTCAAAAGCCAAGATATGCAAGTCAGTGGAAAAGGGTAATAAATAGGTCCTGAAGTCCTGAAGTCTGTACTGATTGTGACGTTTCTAATCGTGGATAATATGAAAGGAATTGTGTTGCATAAAAAAACATCTGACACGTAAAAGTACTCTATTAAATACGCATTAAAAAGTGGTGTGTCTAGAATATCCTTACTATCCTTATTTAAAGGGACAGTCTGGAATTTTGGACGTAGGACCTCATTTCCTGCCACTAAAAACAGTCTTACCCACTCCACAAAGCACCAGAAGCAAAACAATTATTACACCAGACTGTCGATGTAAATGTCTGTGTTGATAGAATAATGATTGAAATAAAACTAACCTTGTATTGCATGAATTGTCGCATGTTGAGGGACAATTTTCTCAGCAGCAGCGGAATTTTATTTTGCTGGTGTTGTAGGTGCTGGGCTGTGTTGGAAAAGTTCATTTTCTACATGATCTAGTTCAAAGTTCAGTTCACAAAGTTCAAAATGAACCAGTTCGTTCATATTTCATAATTGTTTAGAGTTAATCGTTCATTCATAGTTACAAAAATGAACTAGTTTATCGTTCTAACTAGGAAATGAGGTCCTATGTCCAAAATTCCGGACTGTTCCTTTAAATTTTATCCATATTCTATTGAGCTATAGGTAATTATACTTAGCCCACTCATAATTTATTTAGACTAGATCAGATTGCTCCTTCTTGTTTCTGGGCATTTGACTTAACATGCCACTGAAAACCAATAGAAGGGTTATCAAAATACAATTCAATAGCAGTGTTATGTATTTTACTTCGCTTTCTGTACCTTCAATTCCCAAAGACGACATTCTTTTATAACAAGCTTAATTACTGCCCAGCTTTGAAATTACCCAGAGAGTCCATATGGGAAACTTTGCTACTTTTCCAAACTTTTAAACCCAATTTTTCCAGCAAATGCAGTACGATAATAAATCAAATCTAACTTGAAGAATTACTGCGTATGGATATGGGAGCTAGCTTCACAGACCATCAATCTAAACTATATTATATGCACATTTTATTACTTTACTTTGGCCCCAGCTGCAAAGGGTTAGCAAATCCATGAATTTTATTTGATGGCCACTCCTCAAAGAAGTTTGCTATGTTCCTTATTCAAGCTCTCATATGATATCTGTGCTTCGAGGATAAGCAGAGCAGTAGCAAGAAAGGATTTTACTTCACGGAGTCCATATTTCCCTCTGCAAATATTCATCATGATTTGGGTTGTTTTCACTGTTGTTCAGAATTTTTCACTACTATTACCAAGATCCTTCTGATTGGGTTTTAATATTTTCTGTAATTTCAGCAAAAAATAAGTTGTTGTCAGTGGTGGTAAAAAAAAAAAAATCTTATCATGTGGTTGATTTTGCTCCAAAGAAAACAATTATTGAAACTAGTCAAAAATAACTTGAAAAAAATAATTCTTGAACAACAAATTCAGTAACCATAACATTTACCTTTTTTGTTGTTGTTGTTTTAGGGTAAAATGTGTATGTTTTTATTGTAAATTGTAGAACGTCTATGCTCATAGGGCACAAATCAGGTTCTAGGCATTTGGTGGTTTTATATTTTCAAGATCTTTCAGATTGGTTTCATATAATCATCTAATTTCAGAACTAAATAATATTTGTTAGTGAAATAATAAAATATGCTTCTCTTAAAAAGACTTTGACTTAAAAATAAAACCAAAAGAAATTATTTTGATTGAAATAAGCAACACATTACTGAAACCAGTCAGTGAAAACTTTATTAAATGAAATGAAAACAAATCCTTGAGCAACAGACTAACTCTTAAATTAATGATAAAATACCCACAACTACATTTAAAGAGACATACTCAATTGTGTATATTTTTAAAGACAAACTGATATCATAATATATATCAAATATTTTAAAGGTGCACTATGTAACTTCCATAGATATGAGTTTTCTTTGTTTGCAATCTTCCACAGTATGGCTTCAAACCCATCTATTTTGCATTCATTCAATTCTTGGACTTTTTATTGCAAAAAATACCTTTAAACACTTGCATTGCTGTGTGGGGTCACCTCTCCACAGATCTGACCTGTAACTTGACCAGATGGAAGGAGCTCAAGAGGCATCCGGAACAGATGCCTGAGCCATCTCAGCTGGCTCCTCTCAATGTGAAGGAGCAGCGGCTCTACTCCGAGCTCCTCCCGTGTGATTGAGCTAGTGGTGGATCGGTGCAGTGTCAGCAGTGATGCGGTCGCTGTATCAGACCGTTGTGGAGAAGAGACAGCTGAGCCGAAAGGCAAAGCTCTCAATTTACCAGTCAATCTACGTTCCTTCCCTCATGAGCTCTGGGTAATGACCGAAAGGACAAGATTGTGGATACACGCAGTCGAAATGAGTTTCCTTCGCAAGGTGACTGGGCGCTCCCTTAGAGATAAGGTGAAGAGGTCACTCACAATAATAATGAATAGTAAAGAAAAAAGCCTCTCCATCAAGATAAACAGGTGATGGACCTTCTCCCAGAAAAGTTACATAGTGTGCCTTTAATCAAGTATATATATAGAGCCAACAGGCTAGTTGTTGTTAGCATTACCATAATGCTGAAATGCTGTTTTGCCCTCTGAAAGTTGTGAAAGAAAGTCTGTTTAGAAACTCATTGTGGTGAAAAATTGGGATGCAGGAGTGTGTTTGGACCATTGCCACAAACTTAACTTTATATGTCTTTCCCAGTTGTAACAAATGTAAAAATCAGATACAAACTTTATATTACACTATGTATCTAAGTTTAAGCTAGCACCTGTATCTAAAAGTGTCAGGCAGACAGAAAGTAGCAGTGTATAAACTGCAGTATAGTAGTAGAGTTGTGGAGAGCTCCAGAGGGGAGATCCACAGGGGCCTGATTCAG